GGTGAGGGTCAGAGGGAGAAGCAGACTCCCTGCTGAGCAGGGAGCCCGATGCGGGACTCGATCCCGGGACTCCGGGATCTTGACCTGAGCCGAAGGCAGTCGCTTAACCAAGTGAGCCACCCAGGCGCCCAAGGAGCCTCCCACTTCTGACAGGAAACCCTCTAATCCTCCAGGGACCCATCTGCCTGCTACCCTCACCATCACTTAAAACACAGCTCCCGTCTCCAGCCTGCCCCACCACCTGCCTTCACCTCACACACCACAAACATCCTGGGAACGCAGGACATAGATGAAGCTCCCCAGAGGTGTTTGGGGAGGGTCTCTGAAACAGTGTACAAGGGGGTACGACTGCCCCCAAAGGCTTCCTCGATGCTCCTGCAGTGGCCAGACGCCCCCCGCCCCGAGGGGAATCACATGTGCAGGGCCCCAACATGTGCCAGGATCTGGGCTAGCCACCGCTGTGCTTCCAGGAGTCAATCCAACAGCCTCGAAAGATGGGCATCTCCTCTCACGTAAAATGAGGAAAAGAAACAGACTCAGAGAGGCAAAGTGAGACACGTCCATGTCACGGAAGCGGGAAGGGGGCAGGCGGCATCGAAACAATGCCCCCTGGAGCGGCAGCTGACCAACGGAGAGCAGTTACCCTGTGGAAGAGGAGACACGGGAGGCACATGCCAGCTGCCGTCCAGGTCCCGAAGGCCCGCGAGGCAGAAGAGGGCTACAAGTGTCCTGTGTGACCACGGGCGGGACCAATGAGGTGAGGAGGAGGTCCCACCTTACAACGATCAGCGCTGCTCCAAGAAGGAAGACGGTAGGCTGCCATAGCAGGTGGGAACCCCCCATCTCACCAAGAGAGGCTCACAAAAAGGCTGCATGCCAAAAGGAGTGCAGGGAGCCAGGTACAGGGTAAAAGGTTCAAGCAGACGACCTTCAAGGTAGTTCTAAGACAGCTCTACTGTGGCGGGAGTCCCAGCAGTGACCGGCTTCCAAGACTGCAGCCATCTCAGGAGAACCTGCCTGGCCCCGACCCAGGACGAGGCAGCAGTAATTAGATCCTCAGGTCTGGCACGAGCCCCTGGCCACCTGTTACCCTCCCTTGGATTAGAGCTGCCTTGGTGAACAAGTTCAGGCTGGGTTGGCACAAGCTGTCCCTGGTCCATCTCTGAAGAGGCACTTGCTCCCTTGTGTCCACTGATGGGCTGAGGCCGGAGGGGAAAGACACTGACATCGAGCACGCCCCAACTCACAGTCCCAGCCTGGACCTTCCCCTTCAGCCTGTCGGGCACCCTTGGACAGGAAGAAGCTCTCAGTCAGGGGCCTGGAGGGCTGAGTTGCCACATAGCTGGGGCAGGGGTAGGGGCAGAGGGGACTCTCCTGGCCTGAACCAGCAGAGGAGGGGCTGGTAAACCAGGCTGATCCCATCCTGAGAGGATCCCCTTGGGAAAAACTGCAGGAACACAACGTCATCTCTTCCTCCTCAAAGAACACTGAATGAGTAAAGAAATTGGGCTGGGGGGGGGCCCTGAAGGGGCTCAGACCACCTCCCCATTAGCTCTCACCTCCAGCTGACCCTAGCTAGAAGCCCCCATGTGCATGCTGGAAGAAGAACCTGATCCTTCTGCCCCACATATGATGGGAGGCAAGAGTACCAGGCTGGAATCCTAAAGCCCAGTCTCCCTGCTGGGAACTGGGGAGGCACCCAAAGTCCTGAAGGACCCAGGGGTCACCAGGGGAGCTGTGCCAGCCCTAGGCGCCCCAGCAAAACCAGGAGTGGTGCCTGAGACAAAGGAATGTAACAGTGAAGTCACCCCACCTCGAAGTCGGGAACCCTGGCCAACCGTGGCCGGCTGACAGACCTCTCCTGTGTCTGGCTGTGCTGGGCAGCCCCCATGGCAGGGCCTCGGGCTCCCTGCCGTCACCAGCTTCCCCCACCACAGGTGGTGTCAGCTGGGTCGGGGCTGAGGGCCCCAGTGGTTCCCTCCCCGCTCATGAGCCACAGGGGTACAGGGGTGAGACCTGACGAACTCGTTCTGCGGGCTGCAGGTGGGTGGGGCCTCCCAGCCCTGTCTCTGCTCAGCACTCCCGGCAGGAGCCCGGCAGGAGCCCGGCAGGAGCCCGGCAGGAGCCCGGCAGGAGCCCGGCAGGAGCCGGCGCACCATGGCAGCTGCCAGCTTTGTGCAGGAGATGCGCTCCATGGGTGAGAAGCTGCTGCTCAAGCTGCAGAGACTACCGCAGGCCGAGCCTGTGGAGATCGTGGCCTTCTCGGTCATCCTCCTTTTCACAGGTAAGCTGGGGCTCTCCCATTCTCCCCGGCGGCCCTGGCTCTTCCTGGCATCCGGGAAAGGTGAGACCGTGGTGCTGGCCAGAGGGCTGGCCAGGTGTCCCCCAGACCGAGGAGAAGCAGATGTCCCTGGGGGAAAGCCAAGGGACCGCCCTAATCCTCGACAAGCTGCTCCAGTGATGGGGTGGTGCTGGAAGCAGGGCCCAGAGGCAGCCCGGAATCCCAACCAGGGATGGAAGGAGCGAGGCTGTGGGCAGCGGAGGAGGCAGGACAGGGAGGTCAGGGCCCCGTGGCCGGCACGGGGACAGCCGACACCTCCCACCAGACTCTCTTTGGGCAAAGATCCCGCACACCTCCAGAGGGGTTTCCTTTCAAGTTGGGTGTGTGTGCTCCCCTCCGCCCCCCGCCCGAGCTTCCCGTACTCTCTGCTTCTCTCTCCCCCACCCAGCTACCGTGCTGCTGCTGCTGCTGAGCGCCTGCTGCTGCTGCCACGCTGAGCGCAGACGCGGGAAGGTCCATGCCCGGCCCGTAACCCCACCGTGAGGGGCAGACATGAGGACGGCACGTTGGCGAGGAGGCTGCCAAAGCCATGACCCCAGGTGCCACCTGGCCCTGTGGCCCTCAGCCCACAAGACGGCACTCCGTGGCCCCAGCTCCGGCCCTGCCCGGGAACCCGCCACCTGCAGCCTTACCAAGGAAGCAAGGGCTGGGACAGCCACCAAACTCTGACCTGCCAGGGAACCCCAGGGGGCCGGGGAGGAGTCAACTGTTTCAAACACCAAGTAAACAAAAACGGGATTCTTTCCCAACCTGCACCTTTTAACAAAACACAGAAGCAGGGTCCCCATACTTGGATGGAGAACAGCCTGCATCTGTGGGGAGCTGGCCCTTGGGGCCCCCACGCCAAAGAGGGGCTTTGTGCAATAGCTACTGGATCCCAAGCTTCCCACCAGAGGGGAGCATGTCAGTATTCTGCTCCGGTATTTGCCCATTTCTTTCCCAGTAAAAGCTTTCTGTTTATGTGTTTCTGCGGCGCCAGACACCCTGGCCTGGGCTCGGTGCTTCTGAAGGGCAATGTGCCAGAATTCCAGGGGTGTGGCCGGTGACTGTCCTTGCCAGGCCTCTGCACTCCCTGTGCCCACGAAAGCTGGAAAAACACACAGGCAGGAATGCCATGCAAGAGGGAACCAGGGGAAGGGTGAGGGTGAAAGTCCCGTCGGCAGCAACTGCTAACGAGCTCTGGCTCCAGATGCCCCCACTGCATGGACCCGGGTTCTGGGCTCAGGAAGGCCGCTCCACAGCTTCTGCCACCGCTTACTTTACCTGCACACCCCACACCAGCGGGCTCAGGCCACCGGGTCTTCCCAAACTTCTGGAGTCAGAGAAGAGAGGTCAGGCCCCTACTGTTGTCCATAACCTGCATCCTGACCCCTCAGTCTTTTCCCCATCGTGGGCCAGGCTGTCCGGGAGGAAATCCTCACCCTGCCACTCACCAGCTGTGTGAATGCGGGTTAGTGATTCGACCTCCTCGAGCCACATTTCCTCCCCTCTGAGACTTCGCTAACCCCGGTAGCTGCCTCCTGGGGCGAGCTTGTGAGGAGAAACTGAGATGATCTTCAGCAAGCACTTGGCACAGTACTGGGCATATCCTAAGAGCTCTGGAGATATGAACCATCGTCATTATCTGCCCCTCTAAACAAGAGCAACATGGACCCATTTTAAGGATTGGCCCTGCCACAATGTAACACCACCCTGCCTCCCTCCCTTCAGTTCACTTTCTCTTCCAGGTAGAGCTGCCAACCCAGGAAAGAGGTTGGGGGAGTCAAAAAGCTCTCCGTGGTACCTCCCCCTCCATCCCCGCTGGTCCCCCAGAGTCACTAGGGGTGGAGCCCTATCTAGAAAAATGGAGTGCAGAGGGGATGCCGGGCAGGTGGGAGAAACTCTGGCTGGTTTCACTTCCTGGTGTCCACTGACTTGTCTGACGGGTTTGGTTTAGGTTGAAGACCCAGAGAGGAAGTACTTCCACACAAAAGAAAAGAAATTCAAGAACCAGCCTGTACCCACCCCACAAGAACGGGATTCAGAATAACAATGGTAACGATGAGGATGGTGAAGGTGGCAGGTGATGATCAGGTTGGCTGAAATTCCCTGAAGGCTTATGTGTGCTTGGTCACTGCCTAAAGCATTTTTTTTAAGATTTATTGGGGGGGGGGCAGGGAGGGCACAGAGGAAGAGTGAGAGGGAGAAGCAGTCTCCCCACTGAGCAGAGTCCGATGTGAGGTTGGATCCCAGGACCCCGGGATCATGACCTGAGCCGAAGGCAGACGCTTCACCAACTGAGCCACCCAGGCGCCCCAAGCCTAAAGCATTCTGATGCAGGTGATTTTGTTTGATCACAACAGCCTCAGTGCCATGGGTACCATTATTATCCCTATTTTAGACATGAGGAAATTGAGCCTTAGCGACACTGGGTCACTTTCCTAAGTTTAACCAGCTAAAGAGTGGCAGAGCCAGCCCACCCAGCTGCAGAACCCCTGCCCACCACACCCAGGCCCTGAGGCCTCCCAGCTGCAGTGCAGATAAGGCTCCCATCCCATTATCCTCCATCAACCGATCTTAGATCCCACACCCAAAACTGTCTTAAAATCACCTCCCTGTGAGTGGGTGGAGCCCGAAGAAGTAAGAGCTAGGGTGGGGCCCAACTAGGTCTCCCTCCCAGAAGGAAAACAGGGAAGGTGGAAGGGACCCAGATGGGAAACCCTGCCCTTTTCAGTCCAGGCACCAAGAGCTGGAGGGGCCCCAGGAAGCCCTCAATTGAGGAGATGCTCAACAGCAGGGCAGCCCAATTCCCATGGGCCTCTCCCTTAAGCAAGTTTACATCAGCACTAAGAACGTCCCTTCTTGAGGCTGTGCCTCTTTGCTAGGAGATTCTGGCTCCATGGTCTGACTGCCAAGAGGTGGCGACCATGGGCTGTTTCTTTGGCATTCTCCTCCTCCTAACTGCTGAGCCCAAATAAGATGCCATCCTTGCGCTGCTGGGAAGGCTCACTCCTTCCCACTTGGCAGCAAACTGGCCCACGCAGAGCCCCACCACTAACGGCTCCCCACGGCAGTCCTGGGCAGGCTTTGGTCCCACTCAGCTCAACAAATCAGATCGGCTCCAGCGCGAAAGCAGCCTGGCACATTCCCAGCACGGGGCTTCTAGGGAAGAGAGGCAGGGAGAGGAAGCAGCAATCCCCCCATTGTGGGAAAGAACAAAAAGAGAGGTACAGCAATGGTGGCCATGGAAGGGGAGGCCAGCAGGCTGTCTGCGCCCTGAAGGGCATCTGGCTATCACAGGTCTCCATTCCTACCACCAGGCCCACTGGAACAAGCCACCCCCAAGTCTGCCTGCGCTCATTGCTGCACCGATTTCCCAGCTTCATCAGGCCTCCCCTGACTCTGGCCTCTACTCCACAGGAGCCTCTCGCTTCCTCCAAAGGTCCACACTCAAGATCTGTGCATTTTACCGGCTATTATGCCTTATCAGAAACCACAGTAGAGCCCCGGGTACAAGAATCTCATTAGCAAAACCTGGCAGAGAGCACATAAAACACTCTTCTCCTAAATCTGTTTTCTCAAGCATTAATGTTCAAGAGCAACCTACAGTAAAAATCTTCACGACATAGTTGCCTGTGGGTAACACAACTTCCAGACCCAAAAACTGAGGACAATTTTGTTCTCAAAAGTAGTTTCCTCACCCTCCTCAGGACCTGCTGCCTGCCATGAAACACCGTCCCCTGGTCCTACCTCTTCCGTGGTCTTCATGCCTCAACCTAACCTCACTCCTTACGGGGGATCCCCTCCGCCCCCAGGCCAGGCTACACCACACACACCAACAGCATTCTCCACCTCTTCCCATAATGTTCCCTTCATGATGATCATTTCCATAGGATTTTCTGATCAGGGCCAGCAATTAACTGGAAGAGTTGGTTAAAGCCACTTTTGTGTACATGACACAAAACGTTCCCCATGCATCTCATTTTAAATGGAAACATATACGTGCACATTTCTTGGCCAATCTTTTTGCTGTAGGGCCAACGCCTCTCCTCCGAGTGTGGGGTTTGCTGGCCAGAGTTCCTATATTGGCTATTTGCTAACTGTGGTTACCATAAAGCAGAACAAGAACTTAAAAGACATCCACAGAAATCGGCGTGTGAAATCCTGGATTTTTGCAACATGTTTCCAGTTGTCTTGCCACATCTGTTTTGACAGACATACTGAGTGATTCCAAAGTCATTCCAAAGTGGTCAAATAGGTGCTTATAGCAACAACTCCCACCACCACCCCCCCGGACCCCACACTACCCCCGCCCCCTTGAGGTGTGGCAGGGAGCTTCCGAGCTCAGTCTCTGCAGCCAAGCTCCACAGCTGGGTTTAAACCCCCGAGCAGTTACTTCTTAGTTGGATGACCTTGGGTGAGTTGCTTCACCTCGGTGCCTGCTCCCCAGCTGTAAAACTGGGGTTTCGACGATTCCTGTTGCTCCATGTTTTTATGTAACATTAAGTGTGATTATGTCAGTACAACAAGGACAAATGCCACAAACAGGTTTGGGAACAAACAGCTGACTCCTGATAAGCATCCAACTTCACTGATGGAGGAAGTAGACGGCTGTGCTAGAGACCAGCCTGCCGGTTGGAAGCATTCAGCAGCCAAGGGCATGCGTCAGTATGTTTTACGGAGGGAAACTTGAAACATCAGGTGAGCCCATGACAGTCAAGAAGGACTTTACTGAACTCGCTCATCATCTGTCTCCTCCAACCCCGGCTGCACGTTAGCCTTGGCCCAGAGGCTTTATAGAGCACGGGGCTCTGACTGCCCAGAGACTGAGCTAAGTGATACCAGGCAGGGCCCAGATGATTCTAATGAGCAGGGCTGAGGACCAGCGAGCTAGAATGGAAGGCTGGATGGGCAGGACTTGCCTCACTTGGTTCACAATGGACATGAGGTACCTCGCGCAGTTCCTGGCCACACCAAGCACTTGAATCCTAACTTTTAAGGAATAAATGGTGGCTGCTAGGTTTCCAGTTCTGCTTCCTCGCTGCCCCATCCATCACACCAGTGGGTAGGACCCAACCACATGAAGCAGCTGAGAGGCCAGCAAAGGCACTAGGGAAAAGTTAGCCTTCACAGGACCCTGGGGCCTCAATGGTGATAAAGACCTCGTTCCAGAAGGCGCCAGCTAGAGCTAGTTAACCATTCACCAGCCCCACAGCACCGCAGGAAGAGAGCAGCCCGGGTGCGGCTCCAGCCCAGGGCTTCCTGGAGTCCTGGGCTTCCTGTGCTCTGCCCGGACCTCCCAGTCCACAGGCTGGCAGCTAGACAGAGAGGAGAGGCAGGACCCAGCCACAGGTAAGGCAGACAGGTGGCCTGACGCAAGGGTCCTGGATCCAGTCTCCTTCCCCACCCTACCCCAAGCCTGACTTCTCTCGGTGAGGACGCCTGAACATACTACCCTGAGCAGCCCCCAAAACAACATCACAAAAAGAACAGAACGCAGCTGAAGGGGTAAGTATGAAAGGCAGAAGAGGAAGGCAGTTGCTAGGCAACAGGCCCTAGCCCCCTTTGTTCGCTCCCGTGACAGCAATGAGGTCTGGTCAGGGCTACTTGGCCATGACAACACCTTTTCCTCCCAACAGTCAGGGTGCGGCTTGGGCCCCCAAAGCGTGGGGTCTGCAGGATTACCCTGACCGGCCCGCTCTTAGGACACGGGAGTGTTAACAGCAGAATCAGGTAGTGACTCCTTCCTTCTTGCCGCTACTCCCCTCAACTGGCTCCCGGCCCGCAGCCTGCCCACCTGAGCTGCTTCAAGATTAGCTAGTTCGGGGTGCCTGGGTGGCTCAGTCGTTAAGCGTCTGCCTTCGGCTCAGGTCATGATCCCGGGGTCCTGGGATCGAGCCCCGCATCGGGCCCCCTGCTCCGCGGGGAGCCTGCTTCTCCCTCTCTCACTTCCCCTGCCTGTGTTCCCTCTCTCACTGTGTCTCTCTCTGTCAAATAAATAAGTAAAATTAAAAAAAAAAAAAAAGATTAGCTAGTTCTTCTGTTTCCAGCTGCCTCCCGGGGAGCTTACTGAGGCCTCGGCTGGACTCAGTCCGCTCCTTGACTCTGATGCTGATCTCTCAAAATGCTTCCCAAATGTTTGGCAGTTGAGGCAGGGAAAACAGCAAGGATCTGTAGCGGTGCGTTTTAGATTCTAGCTGAGTAGATCTCAGGGATGGGAAAGTTCTTGCTCACACCAGGGCATCGAGCCCAGCATCCCTGCAGAGGTGGGACAGCTGGTCTGAGACCGCTCCAGAGGATGAAGTGGGGGTGGACAGCAGCTCCTGGGACAGGGCCTTGGAGAGGCCCTGGCACTCAAGGCCTCTGTCCCCTCTTTTCCAGGTTCACATGGACAAACTGACAAACCAGAAGCTCATGTGGAATGATGAGTTCTGGCAGAATCCATGGGACCAGGGAGGCCTGGCAGTGATCAGCTTATTCATCACCATGATCCTGTTTCTCATTGTGTTCGCCATTATATTTGGTTTACTCCCTCCACTTAAGAAGGTCAACCGGTGTGAAGAGTCGTGACCTGACTTTCTGGGGGCCAAGAAGGGGCCCACCTGTTAACTCTCAAAACACCATGTACCTTTTCTTCAAAGCCCTTTTAAGAGTCTGCAATTATAGGGGCGCCTGGGTGGCTCAGTCGGTTAAGCGACTGCCTTCGGCTCAGGTCATGAACCCAGGGTCCTGGGATCGAGCCCCGCATCGGGCTCCCTGCTCGGCGGGGAGTCTGCTTCTCCCTCTGACCCTCCTCCCTCTCATGCTCTCTGTCTCCCATTCTCTCTGTCTCAAATAAATAAAAAATAAAATAAAAATCTTTAAAAAAAAAAAAAGAGTCTGCAATTATACATACATGTTAACGTAATTAATTAATTAACTAATGTGACTGTCTAGTAAGTGCCTGTCTTCCCCACTGAACAGAAAACCACAAAAGCAGGGGATGGGTCTCTTTCTGCTCACCACTGTATCCCCATACCCAATGTACCTGGCGTGGAGTCCGTTTCAAACAATATTTGTTGGTTGAATAAATGAATGAATGAATAAATGATCAAACAAATGGATAGACAGAAAGATGCTGGGCTGCCGGCTCCCCCAGACCACAGTCCCTAGATGACAGCGCCCAGTGCAGTTGAGGCCCAAACACAAAGTTGTTCTCCTATCTCAGACAAGGTACAGAGGCCTCTAAGCTGGAAGTTGCTTCAACCTAATGACGGTTCCTTTTGACACTAAGAGACGAAGAGCACCGTCCGGAGTGAACAAATGCTTGTCACGGCCACAGCTGGACATGGAGGAGAGCGGAGCACCGCTGGATGCCCCGCCCCGACCTCATTCATACTGACCTGAGTGTCTCTGCCACTGGTCCCAGAGATGCCCAGGTCTCCCTCACAGGGTCCCACAGCCCCCACGCACCACAGACCACCCTACGACACCATCTTTGTAGACGTGTAACTGCCTCTGCCAAAGCCGCCACACCGGCCTGGCCTTGGCAGCCAGGTGCCCTCCCTTAGCAAACAGCTGCTTTCACTTAAACCACAAACCAGGACTATTCTTAGAAAAAGAGCAAATATCTGGTGGGGAATGGGCGATACACCACTTATCCAAATAAAGAGACATTTCTTTTTCACTCAAAGAGCAATTGCACACTCAGCCACGACAGCAGTGCTTATTTCATGCCAGGCAGTCCTGGAATCAGGAGCCCTCGTACGCAGCACACGACGTAGGAGAGACGAGGCTGCGTGTGGCGCAGCGGGAGGCCCACTAACGCGGAGACCCCCGGGCGCACTGAGAGGCCCCAGCTCCCCAGTAGGACACAGGAGAAATAAAGGCAGGGGCCCCTAGCAAAACCTGGCCAGTTGCTGGGCGGCTGCAGCCCAGAGGCACATGGCAGAGCTAACCCTTCAGACAGTCCCACAGAGCCTCAGACTCATCCCAGAAAAGAACCCAGCAGGGGTATTTCCAGCAGAAGGGACTCTGACAACCAGCAAGGACACCCGGCCCTTTCATTATGAGCATTTTGCTCAAGGAGCCCGAGAGGGCCTAATTTAACAACTCCCTGTACTAGTGCCTGAAAAGGGCTCTGGTCGAGATGGCTGTGGGCAAGGGTGCCAACCACCTCTGCTGGGCATGGCTGTGCCACAGAGGCTAAAGGAGAGACTCAGAGGAGCCACCAAATCATCAGTGAGTAGGAGGGGGTGGGAATCAAAATACATAGCCCAAATAAGTACCTCTCTGGTTTCCAGAGGAGAGCCCCAAACATCTGCTAGATACCAGGTCTATATACTTGCTCAGCTCCAGGCTTCAAAAATCTAGTCTTGCAAAAACCAAGATGGGGCATATATATGAAATGCGCATGTCACTAAAAATTGGGAGACCCAGGATTAGTGGTGCCTGTCTACTGTGAGCTTTGTGACCATGACCTCTCTGGGCATCGGTCTGTTCATCTCTAGGTCTGAAGCAATCACTTCTGCCTCATCTACCTCACAGGTAGACCAATATGAGTTTTTCAGATCAAAGGGCTGCACGCATGCAAAGTGCTCCCAGCTCATCCAAAATCATCCCAGCTGTCCCTCGTGTCCCGAACCTGTCCTGCCACAACCTGCCTGTCACTGACCAGCCATCAGGCTCTTTCAAGCCTCTGCCACCAGCACATACAGATAAAACAGAGAAGTGGATTCCAAGCAGGCGGGCTGGTGTTACGATAGAAAAGCTGACTTCTCTCCAAGCTTATTATCCACCCCCAAGAGATACGGTAGGTCACATGGCTCTTTCTGGGTCCAGGATAAAAGTGAATCCTACTCAAGTGAAGCCAGTGGTCCAGCTCAATGTCAAGTGATGACCACAATGCTAATGGCTCAGAACCAATCACATGATTCATGACAGGGTCACTCATGGGACCATCTACTCCAGAAGTGGATGGAGTGGGGTGAACGGATGACCACCCAAAATACTGAATGAGTCTTCACACTGCTAGTTTCTGGGGCCTTCCTGTCAAGGATACGGACTTCCAGACTGCCTGATAGGAAATGCCCCACACAGTAGCCTTCAGCAGGCAGCATGCCTTGGTCACCCAACAGCTGCCCTACATTAGCTGGTTAACTAGTAGGCGCTCCGGGGGGCGGGAGGGAGATCTCACTAACCCATTGCTCTACATATTAAATAAGTCACTCACCCCAGTTCTTCACAGAAGGTCACCAGGGCATCAAAGGCCAAGACAGCAGCTTTATCAGATGCTTTGTTCCCTCTCTTTTCCTGGAGACAAGAAAAGACCACTTAGCAAAAGTCTTACATAGCTGAACTACCTTGCAGCCTAAACAATCATGAGGGAGAAAAATATCAAATGACAGTAAGAAAGCCATTTACAAAATGGTGTCCCCAAACCAAACCATGCATCAGAATCACCCGGATAACTTTACTTTTTATTTATTTTTTATTTTTAAAGATTTTATTTTCAAGCAACATCCACACCGAACAAGGGGCTTGAACTCACAGTCCCGAGCTCAAGAGTCACGTGCTCTACTGACTGAGCCAGCCAGGCATCCCCCACCTGGATAACTTTCAAAAAGTGACCTGGAGCCCACACCCATACTACTGAATTGAACTTTCTGGAACGGGAGCTTTGGGGAGTTTATTTTCAAAAAGCTGCTCAGGTGATTCTCATACAAAAGGCCCAGGGACTGGCATTTGGGAACCATATATAATATGATCCATATTTTCCTTTAAGATTTTATTTTTAAGTAATCTCTACACCCAACGTGGGGCTCGAACGTACAACCCTGAGATCAAGAGTCGCGTGCTCCACCAACTAAGCCCACCAGGTGTCTCAATATCATGTGTCCAATTTAATAGTAAATATACGCACAGGTGTATTTAGATTTGAAGGGAAACACATACCTCTGTGTGTACACAAGGATATATACTACAATGTGAGCAGTGATTTCTTCTGAGTGCTGGGATTATGCATTATTTGCCTTTTTGTACATGTCTATTTGTCAAAGTTTCCTTTCAAAAAATTGAAATTTTTAAAAATACAGAAAAGGAATGAAAATATAACAGACACTGGTATATGAGATCTCATCTATTGGTTTTCTGCTTCTGGAAGGTGAATGAATCATCCCCACCACCTAAACACACATAAATACACCTACTACCTCTCCCTTCATTCTGCCAATCTGTTTATATCACAGTTTCTTCTGAAATCATAATTTTCCTTATGGTGAGGAAACAACAGCAACATCATTCAGAGCTAAACCATGTGACTACATTTTTACATTTCTCATGATCACATATCCTGTCTTGTACAACTTTGTTCTCCCAAAATTAACAGCTGTTTTTTCACTTAAATTTTAGTGTATTACTACCTCACCCCCAAATGCTGTGATATAATAAAAAATTCATGTCAACAGGGGCCAAAGATGGCAGGCTCCACTTTTATTTTTAGAAACCTCCCCCCTGGAGCCTCCTATCCCCCCGGTTCAACTTGAACTGCCCCTCCCTCAGCCTGGCGCCCAGCTGAGACCACCCTTCCATGGCGCCCCAGGACATTCCTTTTGCCTGGCTCGGGTCAGATCTCTATCTTTCTCTGAAAATACATATTGACTCTGTGTAGACTGCAGTTATTTTGGGGAGGGGGCTGGTAAGTTAAACTGCCCATTTTTCTATTCTGAAAATCGTAAAAAGTCCCCCCCTCCCATCTGATTATAGGAATGCATGTGCCCCAAATGGCTGAGAATCAGTACAAGACAGGCAAAAGCTGCAAAACTAAGAGCATGCAACAGGGTCTAAGAGAAAGTCTCAGAAAGATCCCAAGTGGCAACAAGGAATGTTTGGCTGGAATCTGCATTTCTTTTCAGTCATCTTTGTCCTTTGCTCCATGTTTAAGGAAGCACATGAATTGAGATTTCCCTTTTTGTCCAGACACTTCTCTGTACAGCTCACCCACCTGTGACCTGGCCTCCCACCGATGTCTGCAGCTCTCTCAGGTAATCGCCCCAGATGGTGCCAGCTGCTTCCTCATCAAAGCAAGCAAAAGCATTTTTGAGGACATCTTCCGGATCTGTGCCATTTAGCTTTTCACCAAACACAATGAGAAACATGGTGAAATTTATGGGCCCCACAGCCTCATTTATCATGGCATCCAGATGCTCAACAGTTGGATTTTTCCCCAGGGAGGCAAGCATAGCATACAAATCTTCCTTGTCAGTGAAACCCTCCCTGCTCTGATCAATCACGTCGAAGGCCTCTTCGAATTTCTGAATCTGTGACTGGTTAAACATGGCGAAAACGTTGGATGTTGAGCACTGGGGGTGCTTCTTGGTGGTCCTGGTCTTTGCCCCTTTTGTTGGACATGGTGGCAGTTAAATCCCTGCCCAGCGGGAGAATATGAGCACTTCGGTTAACGCCCTCCGTGCTGCTATCAACACCCTTCTACTCCCAGAGCCTGTAAAGAACAACACTTCCAAAGTCCGATGTCTGCTTAGCAAACCGGAAGCTATAAATGTCTTTAACCTGTCTTCACACTTAACTGGCTGGCTGGGTAGGAAATTCTAGGTTGGAAATGGTTTATCTAGAATTAGAAGGCATTGCCTCATCGTTTCTCATTTCTGATATTATGATGGAGAAAATTGGTGCTGTTCTGGCTCCCAGCCCTCCACATATCACCTCTCTGGAGGCTTTCTGGATCTTCTCTTTGTCTTACATGTCTTATTGATAAGCCTAGTGTGAGCTCTTATAACTCACTGTGTAGGGGTGCCTGGGTGGCTCAGTCGTTAAGCGTCTGCCTTCGGCTCAAGTCATGATCCCGGGGTTCTGGGATTGAGCCCCACATTGGGCTCCCTGCTCAGCGGGAAGCCTGCTTCTCCCTCTCCCCCTGCTTGTGTTCCTGCTCTCGCTGTGTCTCTCTCTGTCAAATAAAGAAATAAAATCTTTAAAAAAAAACCCACTGTGTAAGTTTTAAATAAATATCTTATACCTAATCACCTTACCAAAATCTCATCTAATTTGAATTTCAGATAAAAAGGACCAGTTAATCACGGCCCCTTCATTCCTGGCAAAGTACCAGGTCCACGCAAGGCCCCTTCTTTCCCCATCCCAACTTGTACTCCCCTCCCCGTTCATTCATTCATTCATTCATTCATCTAGTCAAAAAACGTTAAGCACTTACTATGTTCCCAGCACTAGTCTGGCCATTACAGATCCGCAGGAAACAAGAGGGCCCTGCTCTCATGGAACTTATACTTCAACAGAGCAGACAGAGAATGAGCAAATCTCTAACATCACACAGTACATGATTTCTTTTTCCAAAAGCAGAAGAGCCCTCCTGGGCGCTCAGCTATGCTTGTGAGGCCCATGGTGAGCACGTACTGTAATTTCATCACTGCTCGTGGCCGGGTATTCAGTTTGTTCCCCAGTGTCAGTCCTCATGACCAATTCTACCATGCAGGCCCTCCAGCACATGAGCTTTTATTTCAGGTGATTCGGTCCCAGAAATACGGTATCTGGGGCAAAGGGTGTATTAAAGTGTAATGGGGGGCTGCCTGGGTGGCTGTCAGTTGAGCATCTGACTCTTGATTTCAGCTCAGGTCATGATCTCAGGGTCCTGGGACCGAGCCCCACATTGGGCTCCGCGCTCAGCACAGAGTCTCCTTGTCCCTCTCCCTCTGCCCCTCCCCCAGCTCATGCTCACTCTCTCAAGTAAATAAAATCTTTAAAAAAAATAAAGTGTAATAGATATTTCTAGAATGCTTCCCCCCAAAAGCTTTCTTCTTCTCCAGGCAAAGTGCAGGCCCTCTCCTGCACGTGCTCACTAGCCACGAGTGTTAGAGCCCTTTTGCACATGTGTCATTTTACTATAATTTTCATTCACCTGATTACTATTGAATTTGAACATCTTTGGATGTGCCGTTTGGATGAGCTTTTTTGGGAACTTGCTTTCACACACTGCTTTTACCTGTCAGTTGGTGAAATCTCTCCATTTACCCTCAACTTCAACCTCTGGTTTGCCTTCTACGGTAACCAGTTTTTCAGATTTGCGGTTTATGTACCGGCTTTGTTTACGGTATCTTTTGCTGCCTACATTTTTTTCCATGGGTTCAGGATTTTAGAAGTTCAATCACTTGGAGCCCCTGCCCTAAGAGGAAACCACCCTTAAAAGGATTTTACACCACCCTGGAAGGAACCCTCCATCCTTTCCCATATGATAGATGACAAACACCTGATTGGGTGACAGGCGCAGGGAGGGTTAATCAGATTAAAACAGCCCACCAACAAGCCCATAAAAAATCCCAAGACTTAGAAATTCCAGCGGCAACCCTCTCGGGTCCCCTCCCTCCCTGGGAGCTTTGTACTATCACTTTGTTAATCGCTCAATAAACCTTGCTTTGCTGCCCTCCCATCCCCCCAAAAAAGGTTCAAGAACGTTAATTCAAATACTTTTTTTTAAAAGATGGCTTTCTGAATTTCTAATTTTCATTACAAAACTATTTCGAGCCCTAGGTTATACACTGGAATAAAGCGTCTTGTAAGATATTGCTTTTCACTTGTAGGTCCTTAAATCTTTTATAGAAGGTGCCAAACGGGGCACTTTCATTTTATTCCAGAGGGATGTCAGCACCACCTACTAGACCGTCCCTTCATTTTCCATTAAATTGAGCTGTCTGCTTCATCACATAGTAAACTCTCATGTGCTCTGGGCCTTATTTCTAATTCCCTTGTCTGGGCCACTCCTTGTTGCTGTATTACGTGGATTTGGTTACAGCAACACCACAGCACATTCTGACACTGGGTTAAGCTCGAGCCCTTCACCATTCTTCCCCTTAAGACTTCTCCTGGCTGTTCTCAGGCACTTATTCCTTCACATAAGTTCTATGATTCCACTTCCCAGCAGAGATCTTTTGGGATTTCAACTGGAACTTCATTTATATTAACTCTGAGGAGAATTGACAGTTGTATGTCTTCCCACTCAGTTTTTGTAACTACTCAGAGCTTGTCTTCTTTCCACAAGATATTAGTTTTCTTCATCTAAATCAGTAGTTCTCATCCCTGGCTGCATGTTAAAACCAATTGGGGAGGGTTTTTGTTTGTTTGCTCGTTTTTTTTAAGTCTCTTGTTAAAGCCAGTAACATTTACGTCTAGGTATTCTGTAAGTTTTATTCTTGCAAATTAAGTACCTTTTTCATTTCCATTCCTAGGCATTCATGGTCGTGTGGAGAAAAGCTAGGCTTTTTAAAATATTTCCCTTATATTTAGCCATCTTGCCAGGTTTTCTTACGAATTCTAATAGATTTCCAGTAGAGTCTGGGGTTTTCTAGGCAGACATTTGTTGACATTTCTACCTTGTTTTCTATTCTTTCTGTCCCTGTGGGTTTATGTATTTTTTGTCCTTTTAATGTCATTTTGGCAAAGATCAGATATAATACTTGCATACAATATTTCTTTTTTTGGCATTCAATATTTCTTATAAGAAGTCTCCATGTATCCATTTGCAACTTCATAAATGATGCTTTGGGGGACTTGATCCTTCTTGGTTAATATAGAATTCCTGTGTCATTTTTAACTGCTTTAGACCATTCCAGTGTGTGACTAACCCACTGTTTACTTATCCAATACCTTACAGAGGAAGAGTTCATTATGACAGAGCTGCAGCAAACACCTCCATACATCCTTGTGCACATGACAGTTTGTTTATCCTGAGGTGGAATTACTGAATCACAGAACACCAGTACCCTCCCATTGCATGTATCACCTCGTCTCTCTTCAAAGCAGTCATACCAGTTCATGTTCCTTACAACACCATGGGTTCCCCTTTCCCCACATCCTTGCCAACAGTAATTATAAAGATGTTGTACATTTTTGCCAGTATGACGTGTATCAAGTGACAGCTCACTATCTCCTTTGCATTTCTCTGATTCCCAAGGGAGGCTGAGCAACTCTTCATACCTTTATTAGATATTCTGGTTCCCTCTTCTGTGAAATTCATACTTTTTGCTCTGCAGCTGTTTGCCTTTTATAGATTCACCTGTAGGAGTTCTCTATGTACTCAATCATATATATTGCAAATACCCTCCCCAACAATGGCTCATTTTTTCACCTTGTTCATGGTATCTTTCGTTACACAGAAATTTTTAGTCTGAATTTAGTCAAATAGATCATGTCTTCCTTGATGACTTCCACTTTTAAAATCTTGACATGCTCTTCCCTTTGTCGAGGAAATAAAATATTTTCCCCCAATTTTACTTTTTTTTTTTTTGAGGTTTTTACTCCACCTGTAATTCACATGTGTATGGTACAGGAGCTAAGTACCTGATTTTATCTTTTTCCAGCACTATTCAACAGTGCATCCTTTTCCTGTTGATATTTTATGTCACCTATCATACATCAAGTTCATTTACGTACTTGGGTCTATTTCTAGGCTCTCTGTAAAGCATGTACAACCAGTAAAAAAAAAAAAAAAAAAAAGGCTGAGAACATAAACAAAGAACTTTCAACAATATGGGAAAATGCTTATGTAACAATGCTAATTAAAACAAGGCAGGATTAGGACGCCTGGGTGACTCACTTGGTTTAGTGTGTGACTCTTGATTTTGGCTCAGGTTATGATCTCAGGGTTGTGGAGCCTGCTTAAGATTCTCTCTCCTTTTCCCTCTGCCCCTGCCCCCCCCAAACAAAACAAAACCAAAAAAACCACAAGGCAGGATTGATCTTGGCTATGTAAAATAACAGGCACACAAGAGATCGCACTAAGATACACTAAATACAAAGGAAAGAGTCTAACCTAGCTGTTGCAAGATGCCTATTCACCAGTACACCATTCCCCCTGCTGCTATACCTTCTAGCCCCAGGAGCAACCCTGTAGCTTACAGAAGCTCCACCTGGGTTCAGAAATAAGCTGCATGAAACTGGAGAGCGAGGGGTTTGGACGGAAAGGGCTCCTGCTGCCCAGGATTTACCTGGAGTTTTGCTACTTCCTTCCTGATCAGGAAACTGACTTGGTCCCGGTCATTCCTGGAGTAATAGAGACGGCACCAGGAAGGTTTCCCGTCCCTGCCTGCCCGGCCAGACTCTTGGTAGTACCCAGCCATAGACTTGGCAATATTCCAGTGGGCAACAAACCTGTAGGATCCAAAGGGACAAGCAGCGTGAGCTGTGGCAGAGGAGCTGAGGGGAGGAGCGATCAGTGTCAGGGAAGCAGGGCTCTCGACAGTGACCAGGAACAGGGAGGCTAGCAGGTTTCAGAGTAAATGTGGCCAAGACCCCCACATCCCATCCCTGCCACGGAGTGGCCCAAGTTAGAGGCCACAGCAGAGTTAAGGGGGGCAATTCCAGCACATATGAGAAACCAAAAATACTCAACAATCCCCGCCCAGAGGAAAAAGGACTGGGCTTAAAGAAATAAGGTAAGGCCTCTAATGAGCAGCACAACCTCGAGTAAATCCCTTTAACCTCTTTGAAGAGAGAGGGAGGCATAACATTATTGAATACCTACTATGGGCCAGTTTATCTATTTGTCTCGTTTAATTGTAGTTACTATCAGGTGAGATAACTCCATTTTATAGACAATGAAATGATCAGGAAAATGTGTACAAGGTGGCATAGCAAGGGGACAGTGGAGCTAGGACTTGGGCCTAGCTGCGTCTGACTTCAAATCTGGGCCCTTACAAGCCACAGCCAACCCAGGGTCCAAACTCTGATTCCAAAACCTGTGTTTTCGTAATGTAAGCACATAGACTCATTCCTCCCCTGACCAACTCAGCTTCCCTGTGAGTCTTAACGAGATCATGTATGCAAAAGTGCTCTGCAAATCATACAAGGCATTATTATTGGTGTTAATCAGAGCAAAGGGCTTCAGGCTGTAGCTGAAAATGGTTCTGGAAGGTTAGGTGGGGCTAGAGATAAAAGACTTCCCAACAGTTGCCAGGGTGGGTCTAGGAGGCTGGGATGCACTCTCTCTTCTGGACTGTCAGTAAGCAGTAACAAGGAATGCTGGGAATAAGACATTGCCTTTGATTTCCCACAGGGGGCAGTTTAAGATAGTTATTCCACCCCCTCACAGGGACCCTGTGCTAGATGTGAGGGATCTGGGCTGCGTTAATGGATGGGCCTGATGGCTGCGTGCTGCCCTCTACTGGGGGATGGCAGAACCCGGCTGTGCAGTCACCAGGAGAGTGGGCTGTGTAGCACTTGTCACCATGTGGACTATGCACTGGGGATTCTCTCTTGGGGCCTCCTTCCCCTCTGGCCCTAGAAGGAGGTCCTTGAGGCAGAGAACTAGGCAGCCCACTTGAGCCAGGCCCCGACTGGGAAGGTAAGGCAAGAACCGTCACTCACCTGACATTGGCTTTGTCCACTCCCATCCCAAAACTAATGGTTGCAACAATGACCGGGACCTTCTCCTCCATCCACTCATTCTGCACCAGCGTTCTTTCGGAAGCCTTCAGCCCTATGACAGAGGGGAAGGTGGCAAAAGGAACCCATATTTCCCTTGGAATCTACCTTGGGTTTGATACTGTGTTGGGCACTATACACACACCCTGAATCCATCACTTACCACCTGTGTGGCCTTGGGCCATGCACTTGACCTCAAAAAGACCCTAGCCCGTGTGGAGCACATAGCACTCAATAAGCATTAAAGCCCAGATTCAAACAACCCAAGTCCACTGGCCTCCAAAACCTGTGCTCTTTCCACAACACCAATACCTGGGCTTCTAAAAACTCATCATCTGCTGCTGGGAGGGCACAGGGTGAGAAAAAAGAATTCAGGAGCCATAGTTCTCATTTTAGATCTCATTTGTGTTCAGACTCCTTTTTACGGATGTAAGGGAATTGCTTTAGCTCTGCCTGGGTATCCGGAAAAAGATGACAGACCATCTGATTATCCAGGATCCTTAAAGAACAAGAGACCCACCGAGAGGCTTTGGAGATAGAAGTGACCACATGGCCCAGGCGCCCCTTACCTGCATGGTAAGCCTTGGCACTCACACCCCTGTAACTGAGCTCTGTCGCCAGCTGTTCACAAGCCTCTCGGGTCCTGCAGTAGACAATGCCGCAGCCAGATACCAACTGAACGAGGAGACATGGGAAGAGAGTGCGCATTAAGAACAGAACAATCTGCCCATTTTACTGTGGCCTCCTTTAAAAGAAGCTCTCGCTCTTTCTCCTGTCAGCCTCACAGGTTTCTCTGAGGCAGGCCACCAGCAGAGCTCTGACACTGCAACAAAGCAACTCATCTAACTCCTCTGCTTCCTGTGCTGAAACCTTGGATAGGTCTGCAAAGGCCTCACTCAGGGGTTGGCTGTTCATCTCCCAGAGAAGAATTCTAGGACAAGGGAACTCCACTAAGGGGACTAATGCCAGGAAACCAAAGGAACAACTCTCTGTGCACAAGTTTTAAGAAGCTTCAGCTAGTTCTAAGCAAAGGTCCTAAAAAACCAATTTCCATCTCTATGCTGCAGATACCACCCACTGCTCTTGAGCACCTTGGCCTCCCAGACTTAGGGCCCTCACCCCTTTATCAGCCTTCTGTCCAAGAGCCTTAAGGCAGAAATCCCTCAGGTTCCCATAGGGATCTGAAAGCAGTTCTTTGAACTGCACATCATAGAAGAGGTTGGCCCGAAAGCAGGGAGTCTTGAAGGTGGCAACCGGCTGCTTCAGGTGCAGGGCAGCAAACACATCCTCTTGGACTTGCGGGGTGGCTGTGGCAGTCAGAGCCACGCACGGGGCATGTGCCAGGCGTGAACGGAGGGTGCCCAGACGCAAGTAGTCAGGACGGAAGTCGTGCCCCCACTGAGAAACACAATGAGCTTCGTCCACCACCAGGTAGGAGAGCAAGCGGCGGGACACCAGTGAGTTCAGGGTGGGCTGGAAGGAGGCTGAAGCCGCCATCTCCGGCGTGATGTACAGAAGTTTGGTCTGTGGCTTTTCTTGTTCTAGATCAGAGAGCAGCTCCTTTTTCTCCTGTGCCGAGAGCTTGGAGTTCAGGGAACTCACTCGTACCTTCAGGGTCAGCAAGTGGTCCACCTGGTCCTGAGGGAAGAAAGGAAACAGGCCACCGAGGGGAGGACCCAGTAGTCAATGTCACCTTCGCTCACTGGGCATTTCCCAGCCATAAACGTCCTCCTCCCAACCTCCAAGTTCTTCTCTGTGCATACAACAAGGACAGGAGGCGAACTGCCTGAGAGCACAGGCTCTGGAGGCAGATGGTTCTGGCTCATTTCTGGCTCACTGAATCACCACAGGCTCTTTGGCTGGCTCTTAGCCTCTAAAACTGTTCGTTCTCCCTCTCTCTCTCTCTCTATCCTGTAAAACCAGTAACTACCTAACAGGATAGTTGTTAGCATTAAATGAAATTTTACACTGCAAAGGTGAAGTGAATGCACATAAAGCACTGAGCACAAAGCCTGAGACCTCGTGAAACTCACAAAGCACTGTTCCTGTCATTCCATTTCTCTTCATGGTGGATGGCTCTTAACCGCACGGCTACACTTCCTCATTTCTGATTCTGTCAGCCCATCTGCAGGCCTTAAATATAGCCAGAGGTGCAGAGCAGATGTTGACAACGTCCCAACCCGTTTATATCAATTTTGCTTTCTATCCGTCTGCATCTTTTAACCTGTCAAGAGTACACACGTGTGTCCGTGTCCACGAGTAATTGTCTATGTGTATACAGATACATTTCCATACTCCTCTGGGTGAAAAGTAACAAAGGAGGGTGAGAGACCTCAGGCCATCAAGACACAGAGACTCATTCATAACCGTATCACCCTGATATCCACCAGTAGAGCCCCCACATTTGGGCAATTCAGAAACCCAATACAGAAAGGGAGATAGGCAAATCGAAGAAAAGGCAAAAGACCAAACAAATGAGAAGTGACATTTCCAGCAGAAAACAAAACAAAACAAAACAAAACAAGAAAACTTTCCCCTAAACTTTTTGGGCTACCATCTTCACTCCCCTAAGCCTCACCTGAATCAAAGCAATGAGTGGAGAGATTACGATAGTGATGCCTTTGGCCAACAGAGCAGGGAGCTGATAGCAAAGGGATTTTCCTGCCCCTGTGGGCATGCACACAAAGACATCCTTGTCACCTGCAAAAAGAAAAGACAACAACACTTAATGGTTCCTGCCTAGGGGCACCTGAGTGGCTCAGGCGGTTAAGTGTCTGACTCTTGATTTCAGCTCAGGTCATGATCTCAGGGTCGTGAGTTCGAGCCCAGCCTCACTTCAAGCTCTGTGCTCAGTGAGGAGTCTGCCTGAGATTCTCTCCTTTTCCCTCTGCCCCTCCCCACACTCGTACACGAGCTCGCTCTCTCTCGCTCTCAAGTAAATAAATAAATCTTTAAAAGAAAATAGATAAACAAATAAATAAATGCTTCCCGCCTCTTATCTTTTTCTTCCTCAAGGCTGTTGAAAACTGAATGAGAGTATAGGAAAAGCACCTAGCAGAGTGTCTGGCACGTGGAAAGGTCTCAATATAATGCTAATTTCCTTCCCATCCTTCCTGTGTAAAGGGCAGAGATCCAGAGAGATTTGGAAATGGGCACAAACCAATAACAACCACAAGGGTGAGAAGTCTGAGTCTGTTGGGATATGGATGATTGAATTAAACAGCCATAAACATTGAATACTTCTAGATGAGTGTATATAGCTGTGGAGACATGGAAGCAACATCACTTAGAGATCTTTGGTTTGTAAGTTGTTATAATGTAATTAATATTACATTGTTGCTTTCCTCTTGAGAAGCTCCATTTGCCAATATATCTCAGGTTTATAATACTATGACTCTTTTCTTCCCTATTTAGGACCCAGGTCACTCAATCTTCAACAAACGGCTTAGAAGGTCAGTGACTGGATTAGGCTATTCCTGCCACTCGAGCTACTGCCTACACACAAACGAACATGAATTGAAATCTCTGAGTTGTTTTCAAAGACAATCTGCAGCACCTGCTATGAAATGTAAGAACCAGAACAGCTGGGTGATTCTGCCAATAAAACTGCAAGTTTTAAGTGACAAGTCTACAAGATTTCCAACAATTATGGACCAAGGGTGGGGAAGTAGGAAGGGTCAAAAGGAGGGCACTGGCACCTTCTGGCAATGCTACAATATAGTCAGCACAAATGTAAACACAGGTAGTTTGGCAATGTTACCTTTCACTACGGCCATGGTCGCACTCTCCTGTAAAGGTGTCTTAAAAGAGTCAAACCCAAAGACCTTCTTCAACGTGCTCCGGACTCGACGTTCAGGGTCAAAATAAGGGCGGGTGCTCATCTTAGCGACAGACAGTGGCCAGAAGTTAAGGTAAAGGTGATGATCGCATGATTACGATGAAAACTCTGTTCCGCTTTTAAAATACTGCTTATTTTTCTCTAAGAAAATGTGCTTTATTACTCTCAAGCAATAGATTATTTCCAACTAACATAGCTCCAGATGAACAGCCTCAAGCAACACATTCCTGGGCAATTAACATCTCCACTTTTATGCTCAGGAAAATAGAAACATTGAACTATCCCATGCCATGATACAGCACAGAGCTAGAAATCAGATCACAAGAAACACAAACTGTGTCTTTGGAATAATCTGGAGAAGATGTAATTGTTTTTCTAAGATCACCTCCTGCTCCTTTTATAAGCGCTGCTATCACGGCCATTCTTTCCCGCCCCAGAGCCCCGATCCCTTCTTCCCACCTCCCAGAAGAGAGTTCATCCCTCTTCTTCCTCTAAGCCCCAGATCCGCTCTTTTCTCCCTTCCCCAGCCCAAGCCTCCCTCTCTTCACCCCAAGATATCAGAGCTGGGCGTGGGCCACCCAGGAGCGAAGGACTCTTGCCGGGTCGCTGCTGCCCGCCGATCGGGAACTACTCGAAAACCCCCATAAGCCACCCTAAATTCTGAGGAGCCAAACGGCTGGGAATCAGCGTCAGGTAAAACCCACTCAACCTTATATCTGTCGCGCAGTGATGACGTTTAGGCAGATCGGTTGCGAGGGGTGGGGCCAGGCGCAGAAACGGCCGTTTTGATTGGTTTCTGCACAGGAACCGGCGCGGGTTCTCCTGGGATAGGAAAAAGTCGCCTTTCCTCACGGAAGTCGGCTTTTTTGACGCATAGAAGTGAGGCACTCTGGGGTTGTGGGAGGAAGATGGCGGGGAAGAAGAATGTTCTGTCGTCTCTGGCAGTTTACGCGGAAGATTCAGAGCCCGAGTCCGATGGCGAGGCTGGGGTCGAAACGGCGAGCGGCGCGCCTGGTGAGGCCCGAGGAGGGAACTGGAAGGGGAGAATCTGGTGTCTGCGCGGAATGCTGCTCCCCTAGCAGGGCGGGAGGGAAAGATGGTCATTGTGCCCCAAGTGTCGGGTCCGGGAGCCGCGAAGCGCGATCGAGGCCCTGGTTGGAACAGAATGGACGCTCTGGAATAAGAATGGGCCATCGCCTTTCGTTGATTCAATTATTCTGCCGAAACTATTGAAAGTTTCCGTGCCGGGCACCGTGGGGCATAGGGATGGACCTCCGGGTTCATTGTATAATGGGGAGAGCGATGAGTAGAACGTACGTGGAGGGTGATAAAGGTTGTGTCTTGTTAAATTTATAACTTCGCATTAGGAATGTACCCTAGACGCATCTTGGAGCTTTTAAATATGTATGTCTGATCTCGCTGGCGACGGAGTAATTTGTAGATACGGGGTAGGATCTGGGCATATTGTGAGCTTTTTAATGCTCCTCAGTGATTCGCTTACTTTGTGAGCTGTTAAAGCCTATCAGTGATTTTGTTGCCCTACTCAGGTTGAGAATCACAGTGTTAGGAAATGGGAACAGATTTCTTTGGGATCATAGAGAGGGCAGCAAGTTACCTAACATATGTGGGCCTTCCTTTCTTCATTTGGAGGTTAGCTGCTCTCAGTTTTGTGTGGTGTCTTCCAGTCAGGAGGTTCTCTGGTGGCTTCCCAGTACTTTGTAGCATTTTATATTTTTTGTTGTTGGTTGTTTTGGTTTAAAGGTAGAAGAAGATTTTGCTTCTGGAGTAGATATGATTGGTAGCCCCTCTGAGGGCCCCAGTTAAAGCTCCTGTTCCTAGCGGAGGACACACAAAAATGAGGGCAACAGAGTCCTTGTCCTTGTATGAGAAGACAAGTTCTGGTGTCTCTGATACAAGGTAGAGATACCCATATCAAAAGAGGTTTTCAGACAACGTGCAACAGTAGTAGTTCAGAAGGCTTCAATTGGCATACTAGGTGGATGGGAAGCATGAAAGAAAGAATTTAGCATTTGGTTTTCTTCCATGTTCTTTTAATGATTTTATCCACTAAATTGTGGTCTTTCCAAAGGCAGATTCTGGATCTGTAGTCACTTAGATGAGATTTAGGCACCCCTTTGATCTTCAGGGGTAGTTCTGGCCACTCAAATAACCGAAATGTTGTCTTGCATTTTTGTATGCCTTCATTCATTTTTCTTTTTTCCTCTGTTTCAGAGGAGAAAGGTGGATTAGTATCTGATGCCTATGGAGAGGATGACTTTTCTCGGCTCGGAGGTGATGAAGATGGTTATGAAGAAGAAGAGGATGAGAACAGCAAACAGTCGGTAAGTAAATCTGTTCCAAAATCCAGAGTTGTTCAAAGCACCGTTTCATTTGTCAGAAATCTTCGAACTGTACCAACAGTGTTCCATTCCACAGCTAAAGTCATTCGCCTCCCTTCCCCCGCTTTTTGTTTGGTATCAGTTGAGGAAACGGGTGGATATCAGTGCTCTGTTTGAAAACGAAAGTTGTTTTCATCTGGACCATTTTGTATTAACTTTTGAATTGAAATTTGGGGGAAGAGATAATGGACTATTTTATTTAACTGAGATATGTTTCATGTTGGTTTCCCCTGTTAAGATAGTTTATTCCGTTTGTAACAATGCATTCATGCTAACTGATGTATCGTTAATATCTGTAATCAACTCTGTATTATTTTTAATCTTGGTTGGTTTATTCAAATCTTTCAGCTTATCAAAAAGATTAGGAAGGGAAATTTTTTTTTTTTTGGAAGGAAAATTATATAGTTTTTTGTTTGTGGTTTGACCCTTCTTAACTTCTTTCTTGATATTTTACTTGAAACTTTTTATCAGAGTGCCCGCGGTTCTTGAGCACAAATCTTGCCTGATGTTTGGTATGTGCTGGCAACAAAGAAAGAGAACTTTGTCTTAATTAACCAGAAAGCCTTTGGATACACTACTGCCTGAGCCTCAGGAGCCAGAATTTAAAAGTTTGGAGAGAAAACAAGGATTTAACTTGGTGCTTAGCACAAAGACATACAAAGTGAAATCTGGATATAGAATCTGGATATTCAGCAGTATCTTTAACTGAGATACTCAATGTACTATATTATTTGTTTGGAAATTTTCTTATGCATTGATATTTAAATATTAGCGTTAAAAGACTTTCTAAGTAAAACAAAAAAGGATTTTGTATTGGATGCTCTTTTGGAAGATATTTTCATGTCCTTAGCCCCACCATTAATGCTGATAATTCAGAATTGACTAAAATAGTTTAGAAAAGCTTTGCAAATTGTTTTCTTTTCTTGGTTTTTCTTAAGTGCACACATACTGGCTTAACACCATAACTGTTTTCTTAGTAAATGTGTATGGTGTGTCTCTGAAGTGTTGTTCCACATTGCTTTGCTTAGAATTTTCATCATATATAAGCTTTATATCATTCTACTAAAATCCTCTCATCAAATCCCAGTATAGACATTCTAAAATGTGATTGTATCTGGCTGAGCTACATCTCTGATTATTTGGCTTGATTGATTTCATTTTGAGGAAATCATGGAGATTGCATTTAAACCTTTGGGCTCACTGGCAACTGACAGGACCGTTAAATCTCAAAGCCATCAGTATAGTTTGTTCCAGTCTCGCAGGTGATGTCTATATTAACATCTGGGGCGCTACTTAATGTTTGGGTTAAAGCGTAGCTCGATTGAGAAAAGCAATTTCAAGTGAAACTTAATTTTTTCCTGGGTGTTAAGTTAAAGGCTCTTGTGCATTGGGGTGTTCTTGGAACAGACACAGATATTGATTTTGAAACTCCAGTAGCATTCAGTGGAAGGGTGGGCTAGCCGTGTGAGGCCAGTGCACGCTTTGGAGAATGCCTTGTTCACATGGTGCTTTGTGTCAGGCAGGCCGCTTGGATCAGGAACAAGACTGGATAGAACGGGTCAGTGGCAACTCTGTGAGAGCTTGGATGGAGGCAGGGCCTACTTGGCCGGGACCCAGGAAAAGCTGGGTGTTGCTCTTTAGCCCCCCTCCCTGGGTCACTTGCCCCGGTCATTTGACACCTGCCTTCCTGCTGTTCATGTAGCTGAGACTACTGCTGAGCTGAAGTGCTGGGGTGTAGTTGTGTGGGGGTCATGGCACTCTGACCGTGAATGATGTCATGGTAGGTCTGAGTCTGACATCCTTGTGTGTATGAAAGGCAGAGAAGGAAAAAAAGGTTCATGTTCCTGGTTTTAAATAAGTGATATCTCATTGGAAACACTGTGCGTGTTTTATCCTGTGGGGCCTGGTCTATTCTTTTCTGACGCATTGCAACCTTTTTCCATTTTTATGTATGTGATTTTTAATCTCAGGCATTTTCATTGCCTAGACTGTGGCACTGCGGGAGTCACGACTTTGAGCTGCTGATGTTCTTTTCTCCACCCCCACCCCCCGGAACATCTCCTTTTCCCCTTCTCTTTCTCTAGTTCTGGGTCATAGGGCAGGGGAGGGGTTCTTGGGATGGCCCAGCCTGGGTACCTTGCTCCAGCCCCTAGTTATGCATGTGAGAACCCTCAGGCCCGCTCCTTTAAGCTTAATCCTCTAAATTCTTTGTCTTGTAGGAAGATGACGATTCAGAGACTGAAAAACCTGAGGCTGATGACCCAAAGGTATTTGGTGTTGGCTGTGGTGGGGTGGCTGGATGCGAACAAGGCATTGTAACATGGTGGCTCAGCTCCTGTGTCTGGGCCAGCTCGGTCCCGCTAACACCGTGCTAACATACTGTGCAGCCACGGGTACATTTTCTGGGATGAAACCAGCTTTCTAAAGAAAGGAGGTCACCGTGGAATGAGTAAGTCCTGAGGCAGCTTGGATTTCCAGCCTTGTAGATAGTGCCATATCTCCAGACTAGAAAGGCGAGAGGCCTGGCTGAGCATAGCAGCCTGCATCTGCTCCGTAGCCAGGTGAGCTTGGTGGGGTCACTGCACCTGCAGGTGAGTTAGATGTGGGAATGTTTCTAGAATCAGGAAGCCATAGGGCTGCCTTTTGTACTCTTTAGTCATCTAGAAGTGAGGAAGGGACATGAGAGGGTCAGACAGAGTGAGGCCTCTCCCCAGCTGCTAGAGAAGCTGCACCTAATCCTTGTTTCCCCAGGCCTGTGCCCATCCACTTTTTTTTTTTTTAAAGATTTTATTTATTTATTTGACAGAGAGAGAGAGACACAGCGAAAGAGGGAACACAAGCAGGGGGAGTGGGAGAGGGAGAAGCAGGCTTCCCACTGAGCAGGGAGCCCGATGCAGGGCTCGATCCCAGGACCCTGGGACCAT